AAAGGTGATAGGGAGATAAAAGCTGCCTTTAAAGACAAACAGCCCAAGAAATAATAGTCTTTACCAGAGGAGCTCTGGTGCGTCTGCAGTGTGTCAGGCTTCAGCAGCTTAATGCCTGCTGAACCCCGCCCTCGGGGGAGCGCTGCGGCTGGCAGCAGAGAAGCATGTGGAAAACGGAAAAGCTGTGACCCAGCTCTCTCGCAATGTGTAGTAAAACTCCCGGAGTATCTTGTGATCCTCTTTGAAACAGCCAGCTGTGGGAAAGCTTTCGTGCCTCTTTTCCTGCATCCCCCTGCCATGGCTGCCCTGCAAAATGCTCGTGTGTCTTGGTGCTTTTCATGAGATGGACCCTATTGTCTTCGACATCCTGGGCATATTTTAATCTTAGTAGTCACATTTTGCCTCTTATTTTTCTGGTTATTTTCTTTTCACTGTAAATGGCTGTGTGGCACTTTGCTGCAAAGGAATCAAGGCTCCTCTCACCAGAAATGCCCGCACAAAGTGTGCTGTAGTCAGTTGTTTCTTAGAAAATGGCTTGGTTCCCCTCTACCCCCTGTGTTAGCTTTGTTCTGCTAAGTTATTAGAGGTTAGCAAGCTTGAAAAACAGGTTTATGTTGTCACTTGCTGTCCTAATGGAAGATGCTCAAATACTTACAGGCAAGTGGATGGAATAAGAAGTAGGATTGGGGAGAAATATTCCTTGCAAGCTCTCAAGTCTCCAAGGCTTCTGGCATAATTGTATTGCCACTGCAGAACTTCAGGAGTCTGCAGTCTCCACAGGAGATGCTGGAGCCCAGCTGTGTGCAGGGGCTGCAGGAAATGAAACACAGCCTAGCTGGATGGAGAGTTTTGGATCCTAATTGCCCAGGGATGTGATGTGCTTCCTCTACTAGGACCTGACACTATTTAAGAGCTTGCACTGCTGCATAAGACGTTTGGTGTGCTCAGAGAGGCTGGAGGCAAGCTGTGTTCCTGAATTAACCTGGTGCCTAATCTGTAGCTGCCCATGGGGGCTGTGGGGAGGAGGCAGTGTCACCGGCAAAAGGGACAAGCAGTGCAGGAGAGCTTGAGTCAGCCTCAATCTTCCTCTCTGCCAGCACAGAGAGTTCATAGCCCTGATCTGTTATGGAAACGATCCTGAGAAATACCCACAACCTGCAGGCAGGGCAAGTGATCCGAAATACTCAGCAGAGAATGTCCTAAAATCCATGATGCTGTAAGCCTGGGCAAGTGATATGTGTGTGACTCACCCTAAAATCTGGTTAAATAGGGGCATTGATTGTGCTTGCAAGTGAGAATTGGGTCTGCGAGGGACTGAGGGCTGGCTGTGATCTGTTGTTCCACAGATTTTGGAAGCAACTGCTCTAACCTGACATCTATATACAGATTGTACTGAATGAAGCAGAGACATTGTTTTCCCTTCTTGCACAAGCTTGGAGGCTTTTCCCTTGTCCAGAAGTAGAAGAGATAGTTTATTATTCCTTATTAATCTTCCAGTTGAGCCTGGCCAGTGGAAATGAAAGTTTTCCAAATTAAAATCTGAATGTCTAAAAGTTTTGATTTAAGACTCGATGCAAGTGTAACAAACAGCCTGATTTTCAGTTAAAAATTCTTTTCTATTAAAGAGTTAAAAACTCTTTCCTCCAGAGTGCTGTACAAACAGCCATGGAAAGGGCTTCCCCAGCCCCTACAGTAGAAGGAACTGTTATTGTCTCCATTTTATAGCAAGCAGCCTGACACAGACCACTGCAGGGATTGACTCGACACAGCTTGTCAGTTGGTGCCTGAGCTTGGGACAGAAACTGGATGATGTCACAACTCCCACATAAAACAGTCTGGCTCCCATCGGAGGCTGCTGGTTTGGGTCCCAGTTCACAGCAGAAGCTGGTGGTACGTGATGCTTGTGCAGGGCTCTGCTAGAGGTGGCTGGGGGGGATGCTTGCCTTCTGTGGTTGAGGCCAAGATAAACTTCACTTCTGTGCTCTGACATCTGTCCTGCTGTAGGCTCACTGAGGCTTCAAAGGAAACACAGGTTTTGCAACGTGGTGCCAGTGCGCTCCCTTGGGACAGTGGCAAGGCTTTGGGGGTGTTTGCAGGCAGACTGATGCCATGTGGGAGGCAGCAACCCCTGTGAAAGTGTTTCAGACTGATGCTTTGGGCTGGGCAGTCTTGCTCACTCAGCCTGTGGCCTCATGGAAAAAGGAAAACCAATATCAAACACACCCAACCAGCAATACCGAGCACGGGAACTGGGCAACAAGTTTTGTCCTGTAGGAAATACATTGAAAAGCCCTTCCTGGAAGTGAAACAGTGAGATGAAAGTAAAGGAGAGCAGTTGCTGGGAGGGGTGGAGAGTAGAACTGAGGAGGATGCTCACAGGCCATGTGTGTGAGCTTGTACGAGCTGGGGAGAATTGACTCGAGGTCATTGAGCCTGGTTATTAAGAAACAAAAGGTCTGAATCTGTGGTTCCTGACCCAAATGCATTGAGCTAAACCAGGAGGCTGGCTTTGTGTTTGCAAAAGCCTCTCTGTGGTACCCACTCCACAAAACTGGCAGAGGAGCACAGATTAGTGGCCTGTAGATGCTCGGGTGTTGGCTGTATAGGTTTGCATTTACTCAGCCAAGTGCTGATTTTACAGTGGCAGAAAGAAACAAAGTAAGGGGTTTCCTGGAGCACCCAGTTCTTGGGCCTGCTGAAGTCAATGGGACATACACAGCTGATGTCAGTGCAAAAAACAGTGTGTCGTGAAATGGTTTTGCTGAGTTTGTCAAGTATAAGTCAATGATGGTATTTTCTTTGTCACTCGATCATTGACCATTTCCTTAGGTCCCTTGCTCCTGGAGTCACGTGCGTGTAAATACTTTTTCAACAATTTCTACATCTTCAGGAGTGTAGGGGAGAGTTCTGAGGGTGTGATTCTGTGTGTTCTCTTTCGGCTCTATGCTTACAGGCAAATCAGAAGCCCTGAAAAGTTACTTGCTTTGAGTCTCACTCTTTTCAAGAGTCTGGCCCCTGACAGCTGAGTGTTTGGGGTTAGCTATGCTGAGCAAACATCCTGAACTTGGGCTCCTGACCCTGCTTTGAGTGTTTTGCTTTTCAGACCCAGAAGGTTCCCAGGAGAGAAGAAAGGAAACTGTCGGGCTATTTTTAAACCCTTCCTGCTTTATATTATTTATTATCCATTATCAGAAGTGTTTCTCCCCTGCAACCATCTTTAGTGGTCAACTAGGGGACCAGTGAAAATTGCCTATCAGAGATGCATTTTTCCATAGAGGTCAGATAAAGCTGGAGGGTTTTTAAGGGTTTTGCCAACTGAAAATGAGTAGTACTGTTGTTTATTATGTGTACTTGAGCAGTGCCAAGCAGTTCCAGTGGTGGGCCATGATTATACTGCCCTAAGAGATCAACACCAAAGAAAAGTACAGTCTCCCTCCCAAAGATCCTACAAACACTGATTTCTGTGAGGGAACCAGGCACTACCTCCAGGTTCTGCATGTACTGGATGAAATGGTGCACACCACTGGTCTCATTTCATAGCACATCTTGCAGTGTCACACAGTTTCTGCATGACGTGCCAGTGGGCTGAAGGACACCTGTGCAGAGCTTTCTCGCATTGTTTTTGCAGCAGGGAGCTCGGGACCTGACTGGCTGTGTGAGGTGACCTGGCCAGGTAATTTTGGGCAGGGATTAGGGCTACCTCCCTGTGCCCAGGCAGCATTAAAAATTCGCAACGCCCCCAGGAGAGCATCCGGAAAGTGCTGGGCTGCCTGGCGCAGGACAAGGCCATGGTGCAGTGCTGGATGCCCTTTCCCAGGATGTCCCAGAAAGTCCCCTTGGCCTGCTGCAGCTCCTGATAAGCAGGACAATAGCTCGCCTTGTCTTTGCTCATCATCCTGCCTGGTAAACTTTAGAGTTTGAAGGTATTGCATCCCTGGCAGCTTTGTTAATCCTTTCCTCCCCCAGCAGGAGCTGTTGGTGCCCTCAGCAGAGCTCGATGGGCAAACCTCAGCTTCATGTTCTCACTGGAAATAAAGCCAGGGGCAGGAAGGTCCTGGGAGGCTGATGTTATTTCAGCTGCGCAGAGAGCCGAGGAGCAGAAGTTTGGGTTTTGGTGTTGTTAGGAGCAACTGCTCTGAACCCTGTGACACATTTTATCAGCAGCATATGAGGAGAGAAGGGGAACAGCCAGGGGAGGATGGGAGTGTGCTGCACTCAGCACAGGGGGCTAATGAATGATAGTTTTTCCCATTTCTCTTTGCCTCTGAAAGCAAATTCATGTTGCAGGGTTTCAGCATCATTTTGGAGGCTTAGAGCCTCATTAAATCAGTGGGATCTGAAGCCATGCTGTCCCCTGGGCCCATTTCTTTTTCCCCGAGTCCCTGCTGGGCTGAGTGCAGAGTTCCTGGTCCTGCAGTGGTCCGTTTTCACACGCTGGGGCCAAGTACGGGCTGCAGGGGCCTTGGTCACATCCCTTCATCTCCCTGGGGACACTGCCTGTGGGGTAATGACTGCGGCGCACATAAAGTGCAGCTGTGGACGGAGAAAGACTGGGCAGGGCTCTGAACACACACAGCACTGTTCGTGGGGGCTCAGCTCAGGTGGTGAGTTAAAACTTGTCTGTTCAGGCAAAACCACGTTATGAATATTCATGCACTTGACTTTAATACTTTTTCTTTGGGTGGTGTGTGTGAACTCCAGACCTAGGTGCTGTACCAGCATCTGGTGATGCCAGGATCCTCTCCCAAAGCCGCTGCCACCAGTATAGCTTTGCTCCCTGCCAGCCTAGTTAACCCCCGGCGCGCAAGCCCCCAAGCTTCGCTCCTCTGGGCGCGTCGCCGCTGCTCGCGTTTCCGTGAGCTCGGTATTTTCCCCAACCTCCCTCGCTCCTTCCCCCGCCCCGTGTCCGTCCTCCCCCGTCCCCCCCACTCCCCCACCCCGCGGGGGCCGGTCCGAGTCTGGCCGGCCCCCGGGCGGGCGGAGGCTGCGGGAGGAAATCCAGCGCCTGGGTTTGCAGCCTGGTCGGCTCCGTCCCGGCCTCGCGGTGACATCCGGCTGCTCGGGGCCGGCTGCGGGCGCTCCCGTTGCCCCTACCCCGCCGATCTGCCCGCTGCAGCCCTCCCTGCCCGGTGGCCTCGGGCAGCCCGTGGGCGCTGGCGGGGCCGGCGGCAGAGCGCGGAGCCGGGGATGCGGCGGGGCCCATGGTGAGCCGCCGCCACCGCCGCGCCCCGCCGCACCATGCCGCCGCGCCCGTCCCCGAGAGGATGTTCGAGGGCTGCCGGCGAGTGCGGAGCCTCTGGGGAGGCGTGAAGCTGGAAGTGGCCGGCGAGAGCAGTCCCGTGGTGCTGCACAGCTTTACCCAGCTCGACCCCGACTTGCCGCCGCTGGAGGTGAGCGCGGAGAGCGGGGTGGTTGGTGGGGGGAGCCGGGGGAGCACACGGAGCAGGACCCGGCACACAGTCCCCTCTAGTTTGTGTTTCTCCTCCTCACTGGCAGCGTGGGCAAAGCTGGCACCGAGTCTGATCAGGGGGTGGTTATGGGGCGCGCATAGCGCTGTTTCATTTCGTGTAATAAATGGGTGCCCCTGCTTGGCTCTTTTTGCTGTGCGTCCCTGTGCCATTGACTGGCGGGCAGGCTGCCAGGCTTTCTGCTTTCACTTAAGAGATGCTTGAGATGCTTTCTCTCAAGACAGCAGAGAAGGGGTAAGATTGCAAAAACTGGGGGCTTTTAATATTTTATTTGAGACTGCTCGGGTCTGAGATGCTTGTAAAGGCTTTAGGCTTGTCTAAAGCACAAAAGTGTCCTCTGGGAAGGTTACGGGTATTGGGACAACTTTGCTGGAGGATGCAAAATATTCATGCTTCGTTGGGTTCAACCTGCAGCGGTTCAGAGTCAGCCTGTCCCCGAGGGGTCTCAGCCTGAGCGGTTTGTTGGCCGCAGGTGTGGGTGGAGGGACCTGAAACAATCTGAGTCAGAGCTGTGCTTTGTTTTATTAGTAATCGATGATCATCTTTGGCGTGCCAGGAATGTCATTGATTGTGAGCAAAGGGGGTGTTAAGAGACACTCAGCTGGAGAAAGGTTTTGGCATTTGAGGCGGTGCTTTCATGCAGTGTCTGAGCCCTGCACAGCTTGCTGGTGGTGCAGGGGTTAATATCAGCAAGGGTCAGCAAATCTGGCTTTGCTGGGATTTAGAGCCAGCTGCAGATGTGCTTCTCTGCTCTGGATACTTCCTGCTGGAGTGGGGCGGTGGAGGGGGGGGGGATCTGCACTTAAAACCTTTTGGGTTACTGTGTAGCTACCCACACAGGGCAGCCAGCATTTCAGTAGGTGATGGCTCCTTCTCCCAGCACTAAATACTCTATCCCATAACCTAAGCTTGAAAAGCTTGTCAGCCATAGATGGGAAGGGATTATCTCAGGCTCTGGCTGTATCATACGCCTCTGGCTGGGTGGAAGGAGCTCATCAGCTCTGCTGAGAGTTCATCAAACCTCCAGCCAGCTTCCTTTCCCTTCCCTCCTCCTCTCTCCTGGGGGTGGGTGTACTGACATGGTTTAGAGTAAATCGTCTGGTTTGTGTTATGCCTGGCAGGAAGTCCAGCCTCTCTGGCCCACAGCACTCCGGGAGGCTGAGGGGCTGCACTTTTGGCAAGGAGAGCAAGAGAAGCGGGGAGGAGCTGATGCAGCTTGCTGCTCCTCTCACCCCAGAGGTACCTGGCATGTGTGAGCTGCCCATGCACTCTGGCCAAAGGATGCTCTGGAGCTCAGGAGAAGGGTTGGCAGCATCTTGGGTGATGGGGGCTGAAGGAGGCTTTGCATGGTCCCCACTTCTGAGCACAGTGGAGAGAGATGATTGCCCAGCAGACCTCCTCTGAAGCTGTCTTTGCCCACATTCCTGTCCTGGGCTGTGCATGGGTCTGTGCCTTGTAATGGTCAGAGCAGAGCCACAGCATCTGATCGCTTGGGCTTTCTTTGCAGCCCTGAACAACTTGCAGACAAATTCCTCCCTTCTCTGTACCATCCATTTGCAAGTGATGGCAAGAAAAGATGTATCCCAGAGTGGTGTATGGTGACCCTCTGCCTCCTGGGGGGCTTTAAGGTGCTTGAAGAGCTGCTCGCCTCGAGCAGCCTCCCATGCAAGGGCCTGCGTGTTGCTCACTAATCCCCACTGGACACATTGGGCTGGTTGGCATTGGAGGGCATGACTGTGGAAGGGAAAAAAGGTATCAGTGTTGTGACAACTACTGTGGCAGCAGCCGGGTGTGGTTATAATCCTTAGGTAGAGAGACTGCAAGGTGCTTGGTGGGAGGAGAAGGCAGATTATTTGAATATCTCCTGAGATCCTCAGTGTTTGGGTGAGTCCCACTGGGTGCCCCTCAGCAGTGCTGGGTGCTCCATGGGAGCCTGGGGCTGCTGCCTCCACCAAAGGGAGCTCTACTTCCCAGGCTTGGAATGGCCCCTGCACTAGGATGGAACTGTTCCTGGCAGAGCTGTGCCAGCTTATGGGGTGGCTAGTCTGGTCCCACAGGGAACAGAGGATCTCTGGAAAGCTGCTGGGCAATTTGCAGGGAATGTGGATCTCATTTTCTATTCCTTGGCTGAGCCCTGCAAATGTCAGCAGGGCAGACCTTTGCCTGTGCCCCACAGCAACAGTATTGATAATCCTGGGATCGCTTTGGGGTCCTACTCAAGGTCTGGTGGCCGTGTGCTTCCAAGTGTTCTTGCCATGATTTTGACCATGGGGAACGGAAAATTTAAACCGTCTTAAGCAAAGGGTTGACAGAGCAGCTTTTCAGACCTTCTGCTTTGACCTTTCCAGTTCCACTCCATCCCAAATCAGCAGGAAGTGTTAATCCTTCCTTTCCAGCAGTAGCCACAAAGGGAATTTGTTGGCTGTCCTTGTCCTTGCTGGACAAGCATGCCATAAACATCACTGCAGAAGACACAGACCAAAATTCCTATGAGGCTGATGTTACTGAACCTTGAGACAAGTGGCTGGGCTGACGCATTCAAAAAACCTTGTGTCCTTGTATTCTGGCTTTATTTGTCTTCTGAACAATTAGGAGATTTTTAGTTGCCAAACACATCCTCGAAAACTGGAATTGCTCAGCCTCAATGCCTTGGAGGTCAGTGCTTGTTCTTTGCAGCTGGGAAGGAGGCAAGGAAGGGGCAAAGATATCTCTTAAAAGCCATTTTCTTTTGCCTTTCTGTAGTGCCTTTGGAAGAAGATTTTCTCCTAGTCTGTTCTCCTCCCCCAGGCACAACCTGATATGTTCCTTGCAATTTGCCAGATGAACATCATCTGCTGGTATCTCTTGGATGGGGACCCACCTTCTGGCTGCCTTCCAGAAAGGTTTGGAGTTGGTGATGAGGCTGGGAGCAGGCTGAGATGCTGATTGTTGGTGGCTGCTGCAGGGTGGGAGTAACAGGAGTAGGAGGGATTTTTCTTATTACTATTTGATATGATTAGAGAGAAGTTGGAGAGAGGCTTCTAAATGTGTCTGTGTAAGAATCGTGTTACTTGGAGGCTGCTGTGAATTGGAGAATTTCCACACTTCCCTGTTCCTGGGTTTGGGCTGCAAAATGGGCATCGGGCTGGCTGTGCCTGTGAGGACAGAGCTGAGCTGTCACCCCTGTTCTGGAGCTGGGGGGTTGGCTGTCACCACCCCCCCCGTTAGGGCATAGCACAGCCTAGTTTTCGGGCCACCTGAGCTCATCCAGCCATAGGAAGGGCTCACCACTAGCAGCTCCTTCATCACCCTTTCTGGCTTTTTAATTGTCAGACACTCTGCCCCCAAGGGATGTGTAACTGAAGGAGCAATGAACTTATTTAGGTCACTCTAGACCACATTTAATGTCTGCATATCCCCTGCTTGTACTTTCTCTAATGCCGTTATCTCCAGAGCTGCCAGGTGACTGGCTTTCAAGCAGATGCGTGCCTTTTATTTAAATATATACATGCAGCAGGGCTGTTTCAGTTCTCAAATATTTCTTCCATTTCCCATGGACTCAGCAAGGGCCGGGAGGGAATGTTGTTGCTAAGGAGCAGGATTTGGATGCAAAGCTAGCTAAGCTGCTTGCAGGGGGCACAGGAGGCTCTAGCGCAGCCCATGGTGGGTCAGAGTTTGTGCATTGCTTTGTGGGATGGCATCTGTGGGGTCTGGGTGAGCATTGAAGCATTACTTGGGCACTGGGGAGAAAGAGTTGAGTTGCAGGACTCGTAGCTTCCGTAGATTAATTTGTTCATCCCATGGTGTGGTGCTGGGTTGGACACAATGGCAGCATTCATGGCCTGCCCAAAATGTGTGGCCTTTGCTGCAGGGGTCTGTTATACTTCGTTCTGCTGCAGCATCTGGAGGTGAGGCTAGCATGGGGGCTTCTGCAAGGAAAGACATGATGCCCAGGGAGACCTATTCCCCATCACACTGAAAATACATCATGGTCCCTGGCTGGAGCTTAGGAAACTGGCAGCAGGGAAGGATTGAGCTGTTTGGCTACTTTGGCTACTTGTCTCATTCCTGTCCCTGTGCAGGGACTCACCCCACACCACAGCAGCCCCAGCCCACCTGGCCTAATGGGCCTCCAATAAAGATGTATTTGGACTTTGCTCCTGAGTCATTAGGGAGGTGCTGAGGTCTGGCATGGAGTAGTCCCAGCTGCTCCCGAGGGTTCTGCCTTGTGAGTTGGCCATCTGAATAGAAACACCAGAAGGGGTTTGGAGCAAGGACAGAGGTGTGAGAGTGCTGCACCGTGAGCCCACTCCCGAGCAGGCGCTTCAGCTTAGCACAGGGGTAGCTTTGCTCACATATAAGCTGGTGTTTGAAGAAGAGCTTTTGTGGATGGGCCTTTTGTTCTCTTAACACCTGGAAACAGCTCTTCCAGAAGTGACAGGAAAGTCCTTTCCTAAATCTCAGCATGGACCTTCATGTGGGCTGCAGTGAGCAAACACCTGTCTCCTTCGATGCAGTGGAGGGTCTGCCTAAACTAAACCCTCTGTCTCTCTCCACCTGAATTTGTTTGTTTTGTTTTTTATGATGTTACATAAAATAATTTCTACAGGTTTTGGTTACATTCCTGGGGCCCTGTTGGTACAGGTTCTTATAGGACAGCACTTTTACATTAGGTAACTGCTGAGAATTTCTCTAACATACCTGAGGGTGAGTAGTTATGTGACAGTTAAATGCCAGTGGAGATAAGCACATGCATGTCCATGTCCGTTGCACAGTTGGACAGGAGTGTGTTTGTTTCCAAACACAGTTGGTATTTTGATGAGCCCTGCTGTCAGAAGCACTGCAGTGGGGAAGGCGTCTTTCCACTGTGCATGTGGTGTGCTGGGTGGCCGTGCAGCAGGGCTAAGCTACCTGGCAAGCCCGGGCTTGGTGGAGGCAGGACA